GACTTGGACTATGCGCATAAACCTTGCGCGCGGTATACAAACGAACATGGAACAATACATTTATTAATCTGTGTTAATGTTAGTTAATAAAAAGACAATCGTTCAGTGTTTGTTCATGTTTTTGTTGCTGTTACGTGACGTAGCGGTGTCTGACTAGGGGCGAGACGTGGGCTGATGACGTCATTGTTTCAGAAAATATACGGATTGGCTGTCCACACGAAAACACAAGGGTGGCGTTTTCAGATTAATCCACTCTGGGACCCGGTTTCAAAAAATATTGGTTTCACTCTCGCAAAACGCCGGATCCGTCTGGACGAAACGCCTATACGATACAAAATTGATGTGTATACAGCTAAACGCGTCTCCGTGTGGATGGGGCCAAAAGCTCTAAAATGATCGAGTTTGAAGTTTGTTCAATCTTTTGAGAAAGAAATTCAAGCACTTTTCACTGATTTTCATGTAGGGCTGCACGATAAATCGCATGCGATATTTAACGCACATCTATCCGTCTGGACGAAACGCCTATACGATACAAAATTGATGTGTATACAGCTAAACGCGTCTCCGTGTGGATGGGGCCAAAAGCTCTAAAATGATCGAGTTTGAATGTTATTTTTAATGGGATGACCAAAATATACTTTGTTGTAAACAAACACCTATAAAATATCAAATCATCAAGAAATCAGATGTTGTCAGAATTTTACACTTTGTGTATGAAGTAAGAAAAAGTCACAAAGTGCCTTGAAAAACAAACTTTTCTTCAATTTGCTACTAAATCACATATAGTCACTGAAGTTGGTCAGTTCCATATACTAGAAGAATAATGGTACATTTACTAAGAGTGGAATATATACATTTTCTAAATAAAAAATAGATTTTGCACCTGTTACTGTTGCTAATAAAAGTAAATTTTGTATGCATCTTAACTCAAGCTTAGTGCTTTACTGTCAAATCTGTATAAACAATAAACAAAAGAAAAATAAACAAGAAATAAACATGTAATATTATTAGTAACTGCACTTATTAATGTGAAACAATAGTAATTTTATGATTAAATGATCTATATTTTAACACTCCCACACACCACCCCCAGTGCTACCAAATCTGCTCCTGGCGCCACCATCCATAGAGCTTAGTGGCGCCGGTGCCACTGCTCTCAAATGTTAGTCTGTAGCTCTGATATATATATATGTGTGTGTGTGTGTGTGTGTGTGTGTGTGTGTGTGTGTGTGTGTGTGTCACAGATGAAAGTTTGTAAAAAAAATTAAATACAAATAATTATATTATTTTAGTTAAACATTTTATTTTGATTACTCTAAATGAATAATCGTCGTCAAATAATTATAAATAAGTATTAATTATTAAAAGTATTTATGAAATATAAATATTTAAGATGTAAATATTTAAAAGGTAATTTTTTTTGTTTGTTTTACAAATATACATCATGGATGTCTAAAAAACATTTATAACATTTTAATCAAAATTGTAACTGAATGACTCAAAATGTCATGTAGTGTAACCATCAAGTAATAAGAAATAATTATTAAACATTAAAATTATTAATGTACTTTTTAAGAGGTAAATATTTAAAAGGGAAAAATGTTTTACAAACATACATCACTGATGTTTAAAAAACAACAACAACAAACTTTTATAACATTTTAATCAGAATTCTGACATTCAAAATGTCATGTGCTGTAACCATCAAGTAATAAGAAATAATTAATAAATAATTATTTATTTATTAAATATTAACATTATTTTTAAAAACAATAAAAGGTAAAAATTATGTTTTACAAACATCATGGATTTTTGAAAAAACATTTTAGTCAAAAAATTTAATTTAGTGACTTAATGTCATGTGGTCTAACCAGCAAATAATAAGAAATAACTATTAATATTAAATAAGTATTAATTAAATATAAATGATTTTTAAAACATATTTTAAAAAAAGATAAAACATGTTCATCGTGGATGTTTTGAAAAACTTTTTTTTTTAATTAAAAAAAGCGTTTTAATTATTGACTCTGAAAATGACACATGGTGTAACCAGAGATTAATGACCTTGTTGCTATGAATACTGGACGAGATGTAACTCTTCAGACTTCGTTGTGGTTGATTTCTTCAGATCTTCATCAGTTCACCTCCTACTCCTCCTCCTCAACACACTCAGCGATAAACGGGATGCAGATTTGTTCAAGTGTGGGAAGCGGTGTTACAATGCTAATTACACTACACCAGTTGCGCTAATGAGAGGTGTGGCAATACTCAGCGTCTTTATGAGTGTGCAAAACTGTCCGCCACAGTAATTGTCTCTGGCTTGTCACACACTGCTTACTCAACACTGCCTGCTTGACAGTTCGCATTGCACATTTGATCTGACACCCTGCATACGCTCCAGAGTTTCCTTGTTCAAGTGTTTGCTGCGATAATTAACTGCAGTGGAGGAAGACCCCTCTTTTAGCAGGTCCCTCAACACACGGGTGCCACTGAATACATA